TGTAGCAGCTTTTAGTTTCTCTCCTTTCGGACATCTGCTTCCCTCATCATATCTCTGTCTCTGCTTCTGACTCTTTTGTCTCCTCTCTCTCTCTTAGAAGCCACTGTAATTACACTGAGCCAACACAGATAATGCAGTATAATCTTCCCATCACCGGACTTTTAATTTAATCACATCTGCAAAATCCCATTTCCCACATAAGCAAATGGACTCACAGGTTCTGGGGATTAGGACATAGACATGTCCAAGGCATTATTATTTCATCTACCATATATTTGGCATATCTATCCTTTTAACTGGCACCTCTCTACATTTCTAACTCTTTCACCACACATCACCCCCTCACACCTAATATTTTGATCTCTTAAAATGTGCTCAAGCTAAGTGCTACTTTAATTTTTATGGCATTGTGGAAGATGGTTAACTGCCTTTTATAGATGAGGAAATTAATAGCTTTGAATTTGTATACATGGGACATGGAGCCACAGAATCAGATATTAATGCAGACTCATATTAAACTCCAGGCACACCCTGTTAACTGTCAACCACTATTCCACAATGTTTGTAGTTCCTCCAGGTAGTTACCCTGATGCACCAGGAAAAGTCATAACTCTACCTTTTCCTCCTCGGCTCTCTCTGCTTTTTTGCCTTTCTTTAAGGCTCAGCTCAATTTTCAGCACCTCTGAATCCCTTTCTGAATCTGCTCACCCCTTTGAAATTGTCCACACCCTTCACTATATGCAAAATTAAGTTCTATTGCACCCCCATATCCTCCCTGAGCATTTATTTATCTGCAGGTCTCCCTTTATAAGATCTCAAACCCTCTAAGGCAGTGGTTCTCAACCTTCTGGCCCTTTAAATACAGTTCCTCATGTTGTGACCCAACCTTAAAATTATTTTTGTTGCTATTTCATAACTGTAATGTTGCTGCTGTTATGAATCATAATGTAAATATCTGACATGCAGGATGGTCTTAGGCGATCCCTGTGCAAGGGTCGTTCGACCTCCTAAGGGGTCGCGACCCACAGGTTGAGAACTGCTGCTCTAAGGCAAGAGGCCATGCCTGCAGTGTTGTATTTTCCAAGAACCTTCTGCTTTAACTGAGACATAGAAGGCACTTAATAAATGTTTGTTGAATAAATAGTTGAATTGTACAGTATAGTAAGTGGTAGTGATAAACTTTGCATAGGAGGGTTAGGTCACAAAGGTGTGAAATAGCACAGTTTGTTTGATCATCACAAATATTTCAGAATGGCTGGAGCATAGTGTAAAATGAGGATGAGAATCAGGAAAGAGGTGGAGAGACGCCGAAGGGGAAGATCACAGGAAGCTGTGTCAAGCCTTAGAGATGAGAAGTTATCAACAGGCTCTGAGATATAATGGCAGAATTTAATCCTATAATGGATATTAAATTTGCATTTTAAAGATTTTTTGCTTAATAACTGATTTTAAGACCACATGTAATTATTTTTTTCTCCTCCAATTCAGTGTGGTAGGATTAAAAGTCAGAGAAATTACATCTTTAGTCATCATTTCTATCATGAAATAGCTCAGTATCAGCACATCCATTCTGTTAACTCCATGCGTCACCAGCTTTGTAAGCAAAATGAGAAATTGAGACATTGACATTGTCCAGACCTTGGTCCCTCAGCTTGCTCATCAAGGGGCGAGAGGGTGTGTGTGTGTGTGTGTGTGTGTGTGTTTAATACTCATTAGCAAGTTTTGCTAAAGGGAATTACATACTTTTTAAGAAATACTCTGAACTTTAAAATTTTGTTGGTGAAGTAGGCTCAGAAATTAATAATCAGAAATTCAGTAAATGTTGTATAGCATACCATGGCTATGAGAGTAGAGAGCAACTTGGGCTATTCCTGTGAAGAGCTTGAAGATCTAAAAAAAAAAAAAAAAGATGAAGGTCTGGGGAGAGGATGGGAGTGGTCAATAAGGAAACAAAAGGGTGACATCTGTAATACTTTCAACAATAAAGATAAATTTTTTAAAAAGCAGTTCATTTTCAGGTCAACAGAAGGTGTTATTCTGGAATTCAGGAAAGCAATTGACTTCTCCCATTAGCAGAATTGGAAATCTGAGCTAAAGACACTTAGTATTCTTATGGGAAGAAATTGGATTATTATTTAGCCTAGACCACTGAGATGAAAATGCACATACATGCACTCATAAATATTTAACCAGCAATGATACAAGTAATTATTGTTTTGCCCATTTCTGTGTATTGAAAAACAGACACTTAAATAGATTATTTTCAAGATCACAAAGTTAGTAAGCAGTGGTGCCAGCACTTTACCTTGGTTGTGCCAGCCTCTAAAGCCCCCAGTATTTTCTACCCATTTTTCTTTCACATTCATGGGAAGCCAATTAGATATTAGCTATGTGCATGTGGTTCTGTGAAACAGGCCCATATATTGCCCTTGGGAGCTTTGAACTCTAACATCTAATTTATCATTCCCTCTCTTACACGTCATGGTCCTCCTTATGCCACTTAGGAAATGGAAGCATCATAGTTTCAAAGTTGACTCTAATAAACAAATAATTTTCATAAATGATACTCATGCGTGACACAAATAAAACTTTTGAATATAGAAAATGGGATAGGGGTTGAAAGCTCTATAATTAGCTTTTTAAACTTGACTGTCATTGCAGATTTGTCAGACTTAATTAGTTAGGTAAGCCTTCATTCGTTAATGCCTGCAATGTGTTAAAAACCATGTTAGAAAAGTCAGGGACAAGCAATAAGACCTTGTCTTCAGAGACAATGAATGATTTAATAAATAATTACAATAAAGTTTATTAAGTGCTATGAAAACGCATTTCAAATGTCATACATATATACGATGGAATACTATTCAGTTATCAGAAGAAATAAATTCGGCCATTTATGACAACACAGATAAATCTTGAGAATATTTAAGTCAGACAGGAAAAGTCAAGAACCATATGATTCTACTCATATGTGGGATATAAAACTGAAAACAACAAATAAGACAAAAGCTCATGGACTCAGTATGGCAGTTATCAGAAGAAAGGGGGAGGTGGAAGATAGTGAAAGGAAAAGAGGGTCAAATATATGGTAAGGGTAGAAGATTTGACTCTGGGTGGTGGGCACACAATGCAATATACAAATGATGTATTATAGAATTGCACACTTGAAACTTACATAATTTTATTAACCGATGTCACCCCAATAAATTTATTTAAAACAAAGAGAACAAGAAAATGTATTTTGTTCATAAGATTCCACATATGAGTGATATCATGTCCCATGGACACAGACAATAGAGTGGTGAAGGCTTGAGAGGGCAGGTATGGGGTGGAGGTTGTCAAGGGGGAAAATAACTACAAACAAACAAAGGGGACCTCTGTAACACTTTCAACAATAAAGATTTAAGAAAAAAAATATAATAATTGTAAATGCTCATAAAAGTTTCAATATTATCAACATTGTTATTACTTCACAAATGTAGAACCAATTTTAGATATTAAACTGGAAGTTGTATGTGTGAAGAAAAAAGAAGAAAATGTATTTCAGGGACTTTTAATTGAATCTGGAGTGGTCAGAGAAAGTTTCTAGGTGGAAGTTAAGTCTAAGTTGACAAAATAGAAGGAGTAAGGATTAATGAGATGAAAAGGGATGTGTGATGACAATATATAAACCACTGGCAGACGGCCTCATATCATTAAGGAATACAGCTTCTAGAAATGAAACAGTAAAGTGAAGGGAAGGTAACGATCAGTTATATTGAAGGTCATGCCTCTCACAGTTTACTATTCAATGTCAAGAAATAAAAATCACCAGAGGTATTGTAACGGGTATGATATTTCACAATTACAGCAGTCCATATAACAGGGGTGTAAAAATGGAATTTTTGTTGACTAATTTCTGAGCTTCTTTCAGATGAGTTACTGTATACGCTTTAGGTACGTTCAGTCCTATTGCACAATTGTTCAGGTCACTTAAGAGCTTAGCCACTTCAGGGCACTTCAGTGGTGCTCAAAGGCTCATCTCCATGTCATTGCTTCCCTTAGGGTCTTCTCCCATTTTTCTCTCCCGTTTTACTTTTAAAATCATCAGATGTGGGCCCCGCATGCTAGTTCCCAGGGGTGGTGTTTAGCACAGCGTGTGTGGTGCTGGTGAGGGAAGGAGGGGCACGTTTCAGATCTTAGTTGAACAGCATCATGGTAATAATCACAGCCTGTCATGTTAGACTCAAGAGCTGGTGTAGGCAAGACCAAGTGCTGATGTCCAGGTGTATTGGATGGAGCCAGGTGCTGGCCTTGGTGCATATTCAGCTCCCTCTGAGAACCCCAAGGGCAGTGCATGTGCACCCATTTGAGGTGACCCCCTTTTTTCTTTAAGTTATTTCTTGGCTTACTCTGCAGTTCCCTCTGGGACTTTGGGAAACTTACACCCCCATGCCATGCTCAGACCTGTGAGAAGCTAAGGGGGTTATCTGAGTACTGCTCATGCCTAGATGTCACAATCTCCCCCCCACCCCACCCGGCATATTTGGGGGCTTTCTTTCTTGTGCTGCAGTTGCAAAACAGGACACCAGTCTCTTCTGTACTTACATTTGCCCTGATCATATAAGGAGCTCCTTTGTTCCTCTTCCTTCCTCGACTGGCATTAGAGGAGGGGACACAAGCACCACATTCTCTCCTCTGCCTTCCTCCATCCCTTCTCTCAGGGTCCACTTTAGGCCTAGCTAGAGGCTTCTCAACCCTGGCACTGTTAACACTTGAGGCCAGCTCACTCTTTGTCGTGGGAGCTGCCCTGTGCACTGTAGGATGTTTAGCACCACCTTTGGCCTCGAGTCACTGGATTTAAGTTTCATCTATCCAACTGTAATTATCAAAATGCCACCCCGCCATCCTCCTCACAAAGTAGCAATTTTGTCTACTCTGGAGCAAGGGAGATAAACTGATTCCATCAAAATAAATTCACTTGAGGCCCCCACCAGCTCGGATGGCAGAGAAGCTGTGCCATGACCCCTGCACTCCTGCGAACACAGCGCTGCCTTGATGACCCAGCGTCCTGCCCACTCTGGTCCTGGGGCCTGGGGGCGGGCACTGTCTGGATGCTGCGCACCAGGCCCAATCTGCGTTCTGTCCATAAATTCGCGCAGAAACATGAATGGATAACAGCAGAAAATGGTATTGGAGCAGTGGGAACCAGCAACTTTGCACAGGAAGCTTTTAGAGATGTTGTTTACTGTAGTCAGTCTGAAATTGGGATGAAATTGAACAAACAAGATGAGTTTGGTGCTTTGAAAAGTGTGAAAGCCGCTAGTGAACTCTATTTTCCTCTATCAGGAGTAGTAACTGATCAAGTGTTTCCAGTAAATCCAGGACTTGTCCACAAGTCTTGTTACAAAGATGCTTGGTCGACACCGGGTAGATGAGCTAAGAGTGAAGCAGCATATAAGAAATAGACAACATCTATTGAAGAGTGAAAATGGAGCCCCTTAAATAAGGTAGTATGAAACAAAAAAAATTCATTTGAAAATATTTTATCTCATGCCTGAAATCTAGATTTTACTTTTTTTCTCTCTAATTTCAAGGACACTCTAGAGCAGCGGTTCTCAACCTGGGGGTCGAATGACCCTTTCACAGAGGTCGCCTAAGACCATCGGAAAACACATATATAATACATATTGCTTTTGTGATTAATCACTATGCTTTAATTATGTTCAATTTGTAACAATGAAATTGGGGGTCACCACAACATGAGGAACTGTATTAAAGGGTCGCGGCATTAGAAGGTTGAGAACCACTGCTCTAGAGAGTTGATATCCTTTATTAACTGAACCCTGGTAAACCCACTCCTTGTCCCTCAGGGGTAAGTGTAACCCCTAGGCTTCCAGATTGAGAGTCAGGTGCTAACTGAACAAACATTTCGTATTGGTTGGTGCTTCTGTGACACAAGTGAATATTTTACCTGCCATCTACCACAATGGTCTTACCAAACATCTTAGAAAGGATTCATAATACAAAGGTAAGTAGTTAAACATTTCTAAGCTTTTGAAGAATGCAATTATTTATTAACCTTTAACATTTTTTGTATACATGTGTAGAACTCATTTAAAAAATAACCAAATGACAGCTATGTGGCTAGCTCTACATAATTCTCATAGTAACTACTCCTTTTCTATCTGTTCACGTTACACTCAGTTATCATCAAACTATCATTATTACCCCATGCTACTGATCTATCACATCTTACCTTCTTTACTTTCGACCTTCTGCTATTTCTATTGTGACAGAGGCAGAATGATTCGGAGAACCAGCCCATATGACTCTTGGTTAAACAAGCTGCATTGGTTTCAATGTGATACACACTCCAGTAGATAGACATCTAGAAATCACATGTATTATTTTGGTCTGTCTTAAAGCAGTTGTTTTCCATCTTATGGCTGTGTGCTTAGTGGTTTTACAATTAATTTATGATGCATTTTAGAGTAAAGAAGAAAAGCAATTTTCAAAGTGAATACAACTTTAAATTTAATGAAAACTAATATGAGCCCAGCTGGCATGGCTCAGTGGTTGAGCGTCAACCTATGAACCAAGAGGTCATGATTTGATTCCTGGTCGGGGCACTTGCCCAGATTGTGAGGTCACGCCCCAGTAGGGGACATGCAGGAGGCAGCCAATCAATGATTCTCTCTCGTCATTGATGTTTCTATCTCTCCCTCCCTCTCCTTTTCTCTCTGAAATCAATAAAAAAATATTTTTTAAAAAGAAAATTAATATGAAATCAATCAATAGTACTAGGAGAGAGAGAAGGAGATTGAGAGAATTGAAATTGTTATGGACTATTTTATTTTAATAGTCTAGTTCATTTTAATATTCCTACTATAAATGTCTGGGTTCACACATTATTATAAACAGAAATTTAAATCAGTGCAGCCAGTTTAATGATATAAACAGAACATTAATATGCACAACAAAATTAGGAGCAATAATGCATTTTCAAGTGGGTATTTATCCTGCCAAGTTCTAAAACCCAAACACATAACTAACCTGATAGCATAATTCTTGAAGTATACATTATACAAAAGACTAATTATTTTTCTATAAAAATATTGTTACAAGATTAAGTTTTAAGCAGGCATTTCCACTGTAAAATGAAGCTAATTAAAATTATACATAAAACTTGGTGAAGGTTAAAAACTTGTTTCTGAGTTCTTATTCATTTTGGAAATTCCAGTAGCTAGTACAATTTCAGATGCATAGAGTAGGTGCTTAATAAATTTGCATTTGAAGAGTAAAGGAATTAAAGTTTTGACGAGTAATATATGTGCTAAATAGAGTAATGAGAAAAAAAATTATTATTTTAAAGTGTGCCTGTAAACAAATGCTGTGATCTAGGCTGAAAATATTATGAAGAAGTTGAGGAAAGTACTGATAAAGAGTTTACCACATGAGACAGGCCATATCAGGTAGAATGAATTTGTCTTCCTAGTAGTCACACCATTGTGTAACCCCCATCTTTGAGTGGGGACAGGACCTAAACACTCAGGTCTAATGAATGGATAGGGCCTGGAGGGATGTCACTTCTGAGGTTAGGTCACAAAAGACTGGCTTTCCTCTCACTTGCACTCACCTGGCTCTTCCTTGTTCAGGTGAAGTTTTGAACTGCCATGTGGCGAGACCTACGTGACAGCGAACTGAGGATAGCATCCGGCAGCGTCAGTGAGTAACTGAGGACCTCAGTGCAACAACCCGTACAAAGCTGAAGCTTGACAGCAACCATGTACATGATGTTGAAAGTGTTTCCTCCCCTAACAGCATTGGGGTGATGACAAGCCCAGCCAATACCTTAAGTACAGCCTGTGGGGGACCTGGAGTCAGGAAACCCAGGTAAGTCATGTCTGGATGCCTGAGCCATAGAAACCATGAGATAATAAATGTTTTTAAGTTGCTAAGGTTTGGGATAATATGTTATACGGCAATAGAAGGACCTCAACCCTCCAAGGAAATAGTTCTTGCTTTCTATAAGAGCATTACAAGCCTGAGGCCAGTAAACTAGCTAACTTACTTGACCTAGAGGTTTATATATTAAAAAAATAAATTCGTGAAAACTGAAATTGTTTTTCTCACAATCACTAATTTATGTGTTTTATCTAAAAAATCTTGCGAAGAGATAGAGCAGCAGAGAGTAAAACTCAGATTTAGGTTAGGCCAGGGGATATGAGTGGTTGTAATAAATGAAAATAATAGTTGGGAAGGGGACAAGGCAGTAGCTGATAAAGCAATAGAGATAAAGAAACTGATGCAAGTCACTGGCCTAGTGGCAATTTTGCCACTCAAACCATTGCTGAACACCTGTAGGATCCCATGTCTGCTGCCAAGCTTCTTGAGGACAAAAATCATTAACACTTGCTCTTCATTTTCAAGAGTATATATATATAATTGTATATTTAATTGTAGTACAATGGTAGAGACAGACACACACAGAAACACACACATACACACATATATGTGCACACACATACTTTTCATTGTGATAAAATGTGATAAGTGCTATGGAAAATCTTTGCTTGGTGTATAACAAAAACAAAGCAGCAGGCTTGACTCATAGAATCAGGTGGTAGGAATCTAGAGACTGTAACACCTGAGATGAAGATCTGCAAGGGCGTGGCTTTGCTTTTATGAGAAATACATTTCTCCCTTCTCCTCCCTGCAACACGTCCCCTTTCTGCCTTACCAAACACACACCTTAATAAGAGACAACTTTGAGATCCTGTCATTAGGAAGATGTGATCTACTGATCTGCTGCAAAATACAATGTCAGGTCTAAAATATTTCTCAATAGCTTGGAGGGACCTGGAGAGTATTATGGTAAGTGAAATAAGCCAGCCAGAGAAAGACAAGTATCACATGATCTCACTCATATGTGAAATTTAATGAACAAGGTAAACTGATGAACAAAATAGATCCAGCGACATAGATTCCATAGACTGTGGAATCTCGGAGGGAAGGTGGGGGTGGGTTAGTGGATGTGTGGGAAGAGATCAACCAAAGAACTTGTATGCATATATGCATAACCCATGGACACAGACAATATGGTGATGAAGGCCTGGGGTGGGGGGGGGGGGAAGGTGAGGGCGGGCTAGAAGAGGTCAATGGGGAGAAAAGGGGGACATATATAAAACTTTCAACAATAAAGGTTTAAAAAAAAAATAGTCCTCAAGTTTGTCTATTTCTTTCCATCTCAGTAACTACCAAGCTAGTCCAACCTTCCACTCTTTCCTGCCTGGACTATTACAAAAACCTTCTAAATAGACCCATTTGTTATCCCTGCTTTATCCATTTCACATAAAATGCTGCAACAGGGATACTTTAAATATTATACAAACAGGATTGGGCCTTTTTCCTACTTTAAACACATCAATAGCTTTCCATTATTTTTATTGTTATTATTTTTAAAAGATCTTTTTTTTGGTCAATAAGAAGCACTTGCATTTGATCCTTGGCTTCATCAGAGTTTTATTTTAAATGTCACAATCTCCCTGATAATCTAGACTAGGGCATTGCCTATATTTTACATTATTTTAAATACTTATTTTATAACAATATTTTTGTAATTGTATATCATTTAATTAGTTGTTTGTTTCATCAATTAGATGTTTATATAAATTACTAGAGGTCCAGTGCCCTAAATTCATGCACGAGTAGGGTCCCTAGGTCTGACCGGCAATCAGGGCCGATCTGCGGGGTGACCAGCAGGGCAATAGGGGAGCCCCACTGGCATTCGTCTTGGCTGGCCTGGCACAGACCGCTCGCCAGCCCCTCCCCCGCTGCCACCACCAGTCCGGTCTGCGGGCTGGGGGCAGCTCCTGCATTGAGCGTCTGTCCCCTGGTGGTCAGTGTGCATCATAACAACCAGTCAACAACTGCTGGTTGTTCCGCTGTTTGATCAATTTGCATATTAGGATTTTATTATATAGAACTAGAGGCCCGGTGCACAAAAATTTGTGCACTCGGGGGGGAGGAGGGGTCCCTCAGCCCGGCCTGTGCCCTCTCGCAGTCTGGGACCCCTCGGGAGATAACGACCTGCTGTCTTAGGCCTGCTCCCAGGTGGCAGAGGGCAGTCCCAATCCCTAGGTGCAGCCCCTGGTCGGGCTCAGAGCAGGGCTGATTGGGGAGTTGGGGTGCCACTCCCTGTTATTCACAGAGCAGGGCGGATCGGGAGGTTGCGATGCCACAATCAGTCACGCTCAGGGTAGGGCCGATTGGGGGGTTGGGGCACTGCCCCCTTTCACACTCAAGGCAGGGTCAATGGGGAGGTTGCAGCGCCACCCCCTGTCATGCACAGAGCAGGGCCAATCAGGGGGTTGGGGAGCTCCCCCCTGTCACTCACATAGTAGGGCCGATAGGGGAGTTGGGGCACCGCACCCTG